CTCTCTCTCTCTCTCTCTCTCTCTCTCTCTCTCTCTCTCTCTGTGTGTGTGTGTGTGTGTGTGTATGTGTAGGTCTTGAACCCAAACAATACAAATCCAACCTTCCCTCCTTTCTCTTCCAACATAAAAGTATCTACAGAGCCGTGGTGGCAACAGTGGTTAGAATGCAGTACCGCAGGGCTAACTCACTGCTCACTCCAGGAGCTCAATTCTGAGCAGCTCAAGGTTGACTCAGTCTTCCATCATTCTGTGGTCAGTAAAATGAGGACCCATATAGTTGGGGGCAATATGTTGACTCTGTAAATCGCTTGAGGGCTGTAAGCATTGTGAAGTGGTATATAAGTCTATGGGCTATTTTATAAGTGTGAAAAAAACCCACGTTTGCACTGGTTGACGTGCGCAGCATTTGTGCCCATTCCTGGACCAGAAGGCCTTGCTCAAAGTGATTCATACCCTAGTTACCTCCTGTTTGGATTGCAGCAATGTACTCTTTATGAATGCCTTTTGAAGAGCATTTGTCCAGAATGACAAGAGCATTGTCCAGAATGCAACAACGCAGGCAGTTTTTGAAGTTTCCCATACATTCATATAATGCCACTACTTTGTGAGCTGCACTGTGTCCCAGTAGGCTTCTGGATACAACTGAAGGTGATAGTTATCACTTATAAAACTCCTGCACAGCATAGGACTGAACTGTTTACAAGACTGCTTATGTCCTATCATCTCTGCTCATCCCACTATATCTAGTAAGGAGCATCCCATCTCCCCTCTGTCATACAATGTCATCTTGTTGGACCTTCCTGGCGCCTGCCCTGTAGATCCCGTGGGCAATGCTGGTGGCATCATGATTGGAGGGGGAATCAAGTTCTTTCGATTTATATTGCTTTCCCATCTTCCCTCCAGGAGGGCAAAACTGACTCATTCTAACTTGCTTAACAATTCCTTTAAACATGTTATTTGAAAAGAGGCGTGGTGAGCTTGAGTTAGGCTAGGTGGAGTTTTGAGCCTAGACTTGAATTAGCACTGAAAATAAAACGCCAGTAATTATGGCAGATAGAGATTTCACAAAAGTGACATTTCTCAAATAACCTTGAAGATCGATTGTCATCAGCAAGCGTCAACAGCAAACATTGGGGTACAACACCTTCATAATAAGCCAGGATTCATCAAACAAGCGAGAACATGCACATCTGTTTTCCATTTGCCCACAACTTCCTTCCTAGCTATGGTCTTAAACAGAGTCTGCATTCATCCTTTTCTCCTTATGTAAACTGCTAGGGCTTCCAATATTCCAGTTATTGTCAAGCGCACAGACAATCAAGAGTATGCAAGTTGAATAACTAACTCTCCAGATGTCAAGCCTTCGACCTCTGGGCCAAGTCCTTAAACCTGTTACCTTTCGTGTCTTCATCCTCTATGGTGGTGTTTGTGCTGTCGGATGATTCCTGTGGAGACAAATAGGAGTAGGAGAAAAAGAAAACAGAAGGTTAGCAGCTCTGGCCACAGGTAGATATTCGGGGAGATGGTGAGCATGTACAACTTGAACTTGAAACCAGAGAATCTGGATATTTCAGAAAAGAAACCATGGGATACTCAAAAATCTCCTTTTCCACATAACAATAAACTGCCATATTAATCAATATAGAAGTATCTGCCCCAAGGAAACAAGGGAGATGGTTCACCAAGTATACCAGCTTAGAATTGGCTTGGTTTTTCTTGCTTCTTAAGGAAGAAAGAATGCAAATCTCATCTTTAGTAAGCTTGATAGAGACGTCTCATGCAAAATTGAGCAGGAGGTCCCATTTTTAAGGTTGCAGGGTAGGTCAACTATAACAACAAGGAAAAAAAAATGCACAACTGGCATTTGCTTCTACACATGGGTGAACCTTGAGATAATTATGTCTCCCGGTAGTTGTGCCAGACCCTTATCTACTACTGGAATATCTGTCATGACATAAGCTCACTCTTGTTTGCAGAATTATGGCCCAGCTCATAACTGTAAGAATGTTCTCATTTCTCATAAGCATCTCATCAAAGAATGTTATTCTAGACTTACGACTTCTCAGACTGTCAAGGTGATCTGTGGCAGCTCAGCTTCAGCAACTAAGATGTGGGGATTTCAACTCCCAGAATTTCCCAGCCAGCTATGGTTAAGTTGTGGAGGTTGGGAAACACTGATTTACAGCATGATATCCTTTGAGGTGTGGAGCTGGTCTGGGGACAGATATTACTACTCTTCCTAAAAGTAAGGCTTCTATGGAAATAAATGCCATTGATTAGATCAGGAGTGTCAACTTCAAGCCCAAGGGGCCAGATCCGGCGTGTGGGGCCACCCTGGAAACAGCAAAGGACCAGCGTGCAGTGCCTCTGTCAGGGAAAATGGAGGTCAGGAAGGCTGCAGATGGAGCTCATTTTCCCTGGCAGAGGATTGCAGGAGGCCATTGCAGCCGAAAACGGAACCCAGGAGGCCATTTTTGCTGGCAGAGTGCTCAGGCCACCGTAGGTGCCCCTGACATGAGTGACATCAAGCTAGCCAAGCCCACCCTGGACCCCCAAGGTCAAACACAACCCTGATGAGGCCCTCAATGAAATCGAGTTTGACACCACTGGATTAAATTAAGGGGCCTGCCTAGAATAGAATCTTATCCCTCACATACTATTAAGATTCATTCAAAATTCCAAACAGAATGATTCGTTTTTTTAAAGACTCATGTAACTTTTATAAAAAATGTATATTATATTAATTAATATTAACTCATTCACATCTTCCCCCTTCTGTTCAATTGTGTCTGATTCTTGTAGATTGCCTCGAGTGCCTGCATTTTTGCTGGGGGAATCAAATGCAGTAATACCAGCAAATGTGATATCCTCACAAGTTCTTCTGGACACAAACCACCTATCTCATTTGTCAAAAACAGAGTTGATTTAACATTATGATAATATTTTAAAACAGTACAGTTTTCTGCGACCCTTAAAGACAAGGGTTGCTTTCCATCATGGTGAAAAAGCTATGTTTCTCACATGAGACGATTCTCCCCCCCCCCCCAAACATTTGCAGCAGAAAAGAATACATTCTAGAAATAATCGTAAATGTGAACAGAAGACCTTAGTGGCCTCCATTTATTGCCCAGTTGGAAGAAAGTCAAAGCCCCACATTCAACACCATCTCCCCAGATTTTTTCATTCCAATATACCATTCCTCAGACTTACGATTTTACTTCGCCTAAAAAAAGAAGTTGCATAATTAGAAAAAGCATTATCCTTTTTTTCCTTAAAATCCATCTAAGCCAGGAAATCTTCTGTCCAGAAGAAAAGATAAACAAATGGGGAGGTTGGTACTAATATGGTTTCCTTGACCAGCCTCTATCAGATTCAACCTTTAAAAAATAAAAAAATGAACCAGCCAGCCCACAAAAAAATAAAAATAAAGGCCAACTGGTTCTCTTCTTAAGGCTATGTCAGATGCACTGAGTGAATGGGCTTGAAGAGGTAGCATAAACATGGTAAAAAATCAAAGCCCCTGCAGCAAAGAATGGGTTAAGAAAATGCAGGTCTGAGTGGAAGTGAAGGCTGGGACCGATAATGAATGATTGTGATATGGAGCAACTATGCTGGTCCTCAGACCGTACACCCTCTTGGGATGTGTCTCTTTAAGTCTGCCTGGCTGCGTTCTTTCACTTGAGCATGAAGGAGCTCTGGGGTCAGAGTTTGAGGCTTTCTTCCCCATCCTATAACCCAACACAAAAACACTCCATTGAGATTTTTAGAAGTATAGTTGGGATTACGAGAGTCTCCACAAAGATTGAGAACTTGAGATGGGGAAGGTTGCCTCCCCAATCTGGAGTTCTTCCCCATCTGGAGTCCTCAATCTGTGTAGAGACTGCAGTAACCCAAAATAGCGGTTTCAACACATTCTAGGACCAGAATAGGAGAAAGCAGGTTTGAAAGACAATCCCGTCCTCCAGAAGATCTAGTTTCAGGTGACAAGTTATCAACTTCTTCCCCTCAATTCAGGGGTGGGTTTCTCGCCCCGTTCCAACCGGTTCGGTTGGAACGGGGCCGGCGGCGGCCTCGTGCACGTGCGCAGCGCACGCATGCATACTAGCGTCTGTGCAATGCTCCAGCTGCTCCTGGAGGATCGCGCAGGCGCTGTCTGTGCATGCGTGGAAGCGTGGGACTCGTCAAAACTGGGTAAGGAACGCGGGCGGGCGGGTGCGCCCTTCGCCGTTCCCGGAAGTTACTTACTTCCGGGTTCGCCGACCCACGGGTTCGCGGAGACCGCCGCGAACCGGTTGAAACCCACCCCTGTCTCAATTCCATCTGTTCTGTCTGGACCATCTTCATTAGCCTCTTTGTTAAGCCTAAAAGACCTGGGTACAAAATGTAGGGAACATTTCCACCAGCAAGGGAGCCATGGAAATTCTTCACCTTTGTCCCCCAAATAGTGGAAAGTCTAATATTTGAAGAATAAGGTTATATTCTTCAAGGCGGCCAGACCTTTGAAAAACATTTGTAACTTTGTGCTTTCCATAACACCTCAAAAGACAGCCCTCTTCCCGCACCTTTAATTAGGCCAGTGGATTAGAGTCTAGGGTGCAGGATTTCGGGTACATGGGAAAAGGCACAACAAGAGCCTGCAGTCTGTCCCCAGAGGTGAAATTACACAGCAATGCAAGGAGCAGAAAAAAAGTCAATTTTTATCCAAGATAACAAAAAGGGCAAAACTGAGGAGAAGGAAAGACAGGCAGCAGTACCTTAATGCTGTCCACTGGGTTATGGATAACGGTGGTTTGAGGCTCCTACAGAGGAAGGAAAGATGAACCAAAGAAGAACAGAACAAAGAAGAGGAAGAAATTAAAAATATATATATAAGGAGAAGAGGCAATAATTGGAAGAGGAGATGGAGCAGAAAATGATGGTAAAAAATATGAAAAAAAAAGGGAAAAGGAAGAGGGGGGAAAAAAGACCAAGACCCACATAAGAGCAGGGGAGGGGAACAAAATGGAAGGGAAAAAAGCAAAAGGCAATTAGTTCAGCAAAAGGCAAATGATTAACAAACAAAAAGTGGCAGAATAAATCAGGAAGAGAAGAATCAAAACTGGAAAATTTTCCATGAATGAAACCAAAAAATCATATTTGAACCCCATGATAAGATTGCTGTGATCCCCCCCCCTTGGAAATGGAGAGGGCAAGCGGAGGTATCTACGTTTATAATCCATTTGCGAGCCAAAGAAATTGCTGCAATAGGGAGCATGGTCAGGAGAACAAAGAAGAAACTTATAGGTGGGAACGGCAACCAACCCTCCTACCTGGGCAATTAGCATCACAACGCAGGTACCACTGAAGTTTGAAGGAGGGAAAAACGAAGCAAAAGAAGAGCAGAAGGTCCTCTGAGCACATTCCTCGGACTTGTGCTATGCCCAGAATTTTTGAGTTAAGAACCAATCTCTACCTCACTTCATGGGGGCATCCCATGATGATCCTGCAGTTTGGACCTCTCACCCATAGGTGGTGGGTACAAAACAGAGGGCTGAGCAAGAGGTATGGGGTATGAAAAGTCCATCCAATATAATTCTAGAGATAGCTGAGCAGAGGTTTTGCTAGCTGAGAACTTACCTTCCATAAAGTACGTGGTTGTTTTGCAAACCTTCAGTGCTTTTCTGACAGTTTTAAGACGTACTTACCTGGAAGCAGGTAATTCTAGGGCACTAAACTAATTTGTTCAATTTGCATGGATATGGACATGGCTTGGTGTAGGCAGGGTGTTAAAGTGAATTTGGGAGGAATAGTCAACATATAAGCATAAGAGACTCATTCTCTTTTTTAATCTGACTGTTAAAGTATCAGGTGGTTTAACAGGGGAGAACTTGGGAGAAGAAGGACCATTCCAACACTGAGAAACTGCCAGAAAACTTGTCTGTAATGTATTTGATGTGGTCTAAGAATTATCCACATGTATATCTCTCCCTACTTTAGTAACAGTGAATATGCATGCGTGGCCAATTTAAGACCTGGTGCTAAATATGCTTAAAGGCTTTGTGTGAATAAAATGGGGAAGGAGAAGAGACATATGCATGTTAATAAAGCTTTGAAGCAACTCAATAGTAAATAATGCATGCTTTGGTGCAGGATCTTATAAATTCAATCTTTGGCATTTCCAGTCAAATGAGCAGGTAGTTTGAGGTGTTTCTCGTTTGTCGTGAACCTTTTAAAAAATCCTGTCAATCACCATTCAGCTGCCTTCTCCAAGTTGATGCATTTCAGACAGGCTGGTCACCAGAGGTATTGCAGTCCCAATGCATTTAAAGGAGATCAGATTGAAGAAGGCTGCTGTTGACCCCAACATAAGGTTTAACAGAATAACAGAGTTGAAAGGGATCTTGGAGGACTGGTCCAAACCCCTGCTCAAGCAGGAAAGCCTAAACCATTTCAGACAAACGGTTGCCCAATCTCAGCTAGATGAACAATTTAATCTGAGCTGTTAAAGCAACCTCCTTGGTTCCTGCTTCTTAAAGTATTTTCAAAGTAGGCTTGATCCTAAGCTCATGTTATGTCTTACAACAGCAGCAGCTATGAAAGGAAGTGCTGAACCAAAACCTCATTTTTAGATAATTGTGAAAGCAAGACATTTTTTTTTCTACAGCTGATACCTACAATCCAGTTTGTGCAAACCTGCTAAGAATTCCAGGAAGAATATGAATTACTATAATGGCTCATGCGGTTGGACTTAAAGGCTAAGAGACCTAACTGTGCAAGCTTGGTGCAGCTCAATAGTCCTTTTTATGCGAGGGGTTGGGGATCTGGAAGAATGAGTTCATAAAAAGGCAGGTTTCGGTACTCACGAATTACCTATTGACACAGGCACCAGCACTGCCCATTTAAGAGGCTATTCAGAACTAGCAATAAAAGCAAAGCATCTTGACTGCCACTGAGAGGAACTGAACAAAACTGTGTTTGAGGGTTGCAGATGAAAGTAAATTCCCATCTGAAGAGATTGGAACGATGGGTGGGAGTATCAGCCGGGGAGGGGAAGCGGGAGTGAATGGAAGCAAAAAACTTAGATTTCACATCTCTTTTCAAGACCCAACCCTGTGTTTCTTTCCCCCACTGGCAAACTCTGAATTGATGCATTCTTCACCAGTCGCTCTGTAATATTTAATATGCCACATAGGGCTCTAGCTATTGAAATCTTGGAAGGGTTGGCCTCCTTGCCTTCAACAAAGCCAAGCTCTTGCTTAATAGATAATTGGAGAATTGGGCTGGGGGGAGGGGACCATCCATTTTGCTCAATCAAAGGCCATTTTCAACCCTGTTTCTTTGGAAGGCAACTATTTGTTCCCCTTGATCACAGAAGGAATCTGTATTTCCTGCCACACTGAAGAAACTGATAAGCTTTTCCCAACATATATTATCATCTAGGGTGATTCTATGCTGGGGGAAAAAATTCCAGAGTCCTATTAAGTTTATTTCTGGAATCTTTCCTAGTATCAACTACATAAATTGACTACAGAGAAATTTGCCATCTTATTCAATTAACACTTTCTCGTTGAAAGGAAGGGCCAACGACTGACATAGCTTGGGAAATTATCACTACCCACCAATACTCTAAAATAGCATTTATCATATAACAACAGCATTTCAAAGTGCCTCTTTTAAGCTCATAAGAGAACCAAATAACTGAAAAACGTATCATTTTTCATCATTAAAACCAGTTCAAAGACTAGTTTTCAATTGAAGAATGACAAAGAAAATTGAAGATAAATGGGCTGTAAACATTGAATATGGGTCTCATAGAAAAAAGAAGTAGTTTGTGCTATAAGAAAGAAGTTCAATCTTGTTTTGATCAATGATAACAGGCCATTTACTGCATTTTTAACACTCCACAACCTTCCTAGTTTATGTATGATGTAGATATGCACTATTCTCTTCTGGACAACTCCATGTATTGTTCTGGATTCCTACAATTTAATTTAAACCTGCTGTTTCCATCCCTTGATCTCTTTTAATACATTTTGTACTGAAAAATTAGTGGGCAAAGAAAACCTTTCCATCAAAAAATGTCACAGGCATTTAAAGAATTAGTCTCATTGTCTAATTTGTATCATATCCATATAAGCAAAGCACAGAATGTGATTACCTATAACTGCCCAATATGTTTTCGATCTGCATCCTCCTGAAGATTCATTAAAATCCCAGTTGTGGAATTTTATTTCCCTTCAAAAGCAATATAAACTTCAAGGTAACTTCCTAGCCAGCAAAGCCAGTATATTAAGACTTCATGAAAAACATTATTACAAAACTGATATTTATTTGGTAGAAGAGCTCTACACAAGCTATTGTTCCTGTGTTCAAATGCAAGACCTCCAAGTTATTCGAAGAATTCCATATTTGCCACCTTTGAAGGGATACTAAATAAATTCATGTTGCAATCATTTTTTAAAAGAAAACTAATGTTTAGTGTTTTAATCTGGGCTAACATGCTTCATATAGAATTATTTAGAGCAGTAATTGTTGCTTTAAAGAGTTCACACTAATGTGATTAGATTTGTTTCTTATAAAGTCAATTTGCGGTTTAGTTTGTTGCTCTCTTCTTTTTCTGTTCTGTCTTTAAGGTTATGGCACAATTTTGTCTATCAAGAAGAGAATGAAAAGGAATAGCTACAAAATAGATATAAAAAATCAATCCAGGTTTGATGTGGCAATGAATCTACTGAAAATAAAGACTAAAATAGAAGTATTTTTAAGGTTCGCAAATAGAGCTTCTGAGAGCTTTAAAACTTTTATAATAATTCTAATGCCTTCACCTGTTAATGCTTCAGTGACTTGTTGACAGTGGAGCAAAGTGTGAAAAGTTTAAATAGTTCCTATACGTATTATCCTAATGCCAACTTTACAGCTTTTTCCTCTATATATATTTACAATAATTACATTAAAAAAAAACAACCTAGAATCTGTAACTCCTATGAAAACATATGGGGCTCTGCAAATCAATTAAAGTTTATTAAATGTTTATGCCATACAGTTATTTCCCAGAATTATTGTTCCAGGAGTTTTAAAACATTTATAATGTACATTCCTATGCACTTTTTTACACTTATGAAAAAGGCTAGGCTTGTGGAAACGTGGGATAGGCCCTCAATGGAATAAAATATTTAGAGAAAATTTAAGAGATTTAAAATGGAAAATTGAACCTTCCACCATACAGAACCTGGGCCAGAATTGATCAGAGCAGTTCCAAAACCCAGGTCAAAAAATAGTGGCTTTAAATGGCAGATTTAAGGAACAGATTTCAGTTGGACATTAGAAAAACGTCAAATGATTATTAAATCAAGTAGTGCATCGCCTCCAGAGTGGAATTGCCTTTGCTGAAAGTATTTTGAAAAAGAAAGAATGGACACCTGTCAGGTGCTGAAGCATTGAGTAAGGACCTGGATTAAGGCTCAATTAAGACTTCTCTAGAACCTCTCATATTCCATGATTGTACAATTTTATTCTCTTTTTCTAACCATTTTTTGAAAACTGAAAAAGTTTTCATTTGCTGGTTAGGCCAGTGGATTTCATACTTGCCCTATTGAAGTCTCATTTAGCACCAAATCGTAATGTAGCCATGAAGTTATGAATATTTAAGTTTCTGTAACCAACATGACCTCTGGATCGAACACATCCGGAAAGGAGGTTTTGATACTCAGGCACGAAGTACAAATTTGCACAAAGCAGACCAGGGTGATATCCACAGATGGGATTCAGAGAGAGTTTAGAGGTGGGGAAAAAATAGTTGACAACCAGAGTTACCGGATTCTATTATTTCTCAGAATGACTGATGAGACAAGGTGTAATTATAAGGCACTCTTACTCATTTTTTCCAACCAAGAATAAAGAGGCCTTTGTTTTTCTTTTTTTGAGGGAGAGGTGGGGAAATTTTTTTTTGATTGTCTGCTGGGATAGAAGACAGTATTAATTTGCAATTCAAATATCCTTATTTTGTGCCTTGTATTATTGAATGGGAGAATCTGAGACATCCTAATCAATGTGGAATACACTGTGGCTTAATTTTGTTACCAGGAAGCAAATTAAAACATTTAAGATTGAACTGAATTCTAGTTAGCAAGATCAACTGAATGGGGTCTTCTGGTTTGGACTGCCTAAGGTGTAATATATATAAGGTGTAATATATATAAGGTGTAATATATATAAGGTGTTTATATAT